AACATACATAGTTATATGTGTAATATATGCACTTTAGTATTAATTAGCACCTTCCATATGTATCCCAGCTAAAAATATGAAAACTTACATATGGACAAGCCACGCTGTATTTACCTAATGGTCAGTCCTTGAATGCTGCAGATCATGGGAAAAAATAACGAACATCATGATAGTTTGAAGACAAAGGAAGTTTCAAACTTTATTTTCATCCCAGAGCTCCAGAGCTTCCGACCCCCTTGTAACATTATATAATGATATACCAAATGATTTGTCTGTCATCTACTCCCTGGCCTTGGGATAAGAATGCTTATTTCCGGGTGGGGGGGGGCGGGGGAGAAAGGATTAAAAGGCAGTCAGCTGGAAGGAAAGAAGTAAAAAGTAGCCTGGACAATCCAGTACCTGGCCAGTTAGTCTCTGAATAAATCAAGAGCTGCTTTTGCATTAAGGAATTAGAAGTGTCATTTCCAACTTGGGATTTCTGCAAATATTGGATTCTACCCAAGCTGGATTTTACAAGCAGATAAAGAAAGCCAGGATTAAATAGAGACCTGGGGGAATGTCACCTATTCTGAATCACTTCCAAATTTCAGTAGCTAAAGAAGATGTTGGTTGGGGCAGGGCAACTTTTTGACCTCCATGCAAGGGGAAGATACTAGCGAGAAAAACTCAGAATTCTGCTGGAAGAAAAAGCAGCCCATTAACAAAAGAGAGAACAAAAGAAAAGAAAGAACTTGCTTATGTTGCAAAGTTAAACATCACATCAGCTTTCCTGAAATACTCTGGAACTTAAAAAAAGTAAGCATAAAAAATGTATTTTGAAGCTTTTTCATTTAAGTGTAGGTTAATATGTTCCATGTGCCATTTTGTATTTTGAAAAAATACTGCAAGAAATACACTATTATTAAAAGTACTTGCAAAAACAGATATCTCCAAATCTCCTTATTACATTGTTTTTTAGTATTAGTTTCAGGTGTACAAAACAATGTAATAGACATTTAATCTCTTCATTAAGTTTTAAAAAATACAAATTGATTGAGCCCTATGAGGTTTAAGAGAACATGTTTACGTTTTTTACCAACCTCGGTTGCTAGAAACACACCACCACACTGTTTGTGATAAATGCTTCAGTTTCATGGAAGAAGCCAAATCTAATCTTAGGAAAATGAGATGTTTCCACACTTCAGTATGAAAAAGGCTACAGCAGGAAACACTTGTCATACCACGCCCCCTACCAGCAGACCACCAGAAACACCAATTAGGTTTGGGGGGCCTTGCTGCTTTTAAGAAGTTTCATCAAGACATTTTCATAAAGCCCTAGTTAAAATGTGACTTGGCATATAAACAGCAGAAAAGAGATGTAAAAAGAAGTCATCGTGTACCCAGCTCAAGAAATCCCAGGAGACTATAATGAAGTTATGATGTGCCCATCCACCTTTCAGTAATTCAACCTGAAATGTGGCTTACGACCATTTCAAAAAAATAAAACAAATCAAATCACCCAGTTTACAATACAAATAAATCACAAGAGGTCCCAAGACAGATACAGGCAGTCGGGGTTAATAGTAGCTAATAATGACAGTGCTTTCGAATGGGAGGTGGGTGAGGGGGCCAATGACTTAACAGGCTTCTGCCATGTAGACAACACAGGAGTTGTCAATTAGCTTTTCAAAACATTGGCATGTGTCTCCCCTCTACAAGGTATTCATTCTCAGTACTGTGTTTGTGCCTAATTAATTTTTTAAATTATTGCTGCCAGGCCCTATTAGTGTTTATCAAATGCATTTTTATTTTATGAATTTGTTTTCTAAACAAGGGGAACAAAGAGTAGCTGGTATTGTCGTTCGTGATGGCCTCCCCCATATACAGAGGTTTGTCCAAAAGCAGGGTGGGTCAAAATTCTAGTCTCTCAATCCTCTGGCTATATTTTGAAATAAAACACAGAGTTAAATGATATATATTTGCTCTCTATTCCAGACTGGATACAATTGATTTCAACTGACTAAATTATCTGATCTCTGCCAAGAATTTTATTTCATTAAGAAAATGATATTATAGCGCATCTGAGATCATAGAGTAGACTAAACATAATGCCAAAGAAGTTCTGAGAATGCTCCACAGTGAAGGTTTGATTATTTGCAGATGGAATATGAAAAAAAAAAAAGAATCAGATCTCAGGCATTAGCCTAACCAATCCTGGTATCACTGCTGCCTGCAATCGCAGCACAAAGCCAAGAAAATAACTGATCTCCTAAGCCACAACACCTTCTTTTTTGAAGGTACTAATCACTTTTCTTCCTAGAAAGTAATATTTAACTGCCACTACCCAAAACAAAGGGAAAGGGGGGAAATGTTGGTACCACAATAGGCTCTAGCCTGTCAGCTGTCACTGCTGACATGATTTGGCTAGCTGGCAAGCATTCACCAAGGAACTCATTTAAACCAATCTCCTTTGGGAAAGCCCATTGTTTGGTATGCGCAACAATCGGTGTAGGATCAATCAGTGGACATGAGATCAATTAAAACCAGCTTAAGTTTGTGAAGAGGAACAACTCACACAACCTGAGTTAGATCTCTATTCATTTCAATACTCTCACAATGTAATCCTTAAGCTTCCTTGCAAAGCAGAAAAGCTACTATCACCCTACACTGTCTAGCCAGCCCTTTAAGTAGTTCCACTTTTAATTAAAAACACAGTACACCCTTTGTTGGCACAGATAGTGTGGTCACTTTTAAGGACCGCAGTTATTTTAGCCAGAAACTTGGGATTTGGGAAGGAACATCTGTTAAGAAAAGGAAAAAAAAAACAAAACAAAAATACACTTTGATAGATTTTTTTTTTTGGTACAACCTTACCAATTTACATGTACTTGAAAGCATTTGAATTTTATGGAATGGAAAGGTTGGTTTGGCAAAAGTTACCACTGCACACTTTAGAATTTGGTTTCTAAATGTCAGCACTTGGGGATGTGGAGGGTATGAGATTTTGCTAAAGCGACTTTGAAATAAATAGTTTTTGCCTCTGATACCTAAGAAGGCATAGGCAGGACTTAAAGGCAGTACTGCGGAGGGAAGCGTGCAGTGTTCCCGTCTGGCCGCACGAGTGCTGTAATGTCACTCTTCACCAAACAGTATCTCCACGTTAAGTTCTACTAGAACAATATTCGTGATTCTTCCCTATTCGGCCACAATGGGACAGGCAGTGTGGATCAGAAAGGCTACCAATCTGAATTAGTAAATATGCTAACAATCCATATTTCTCAAACTTGAAGCCTTTGAGTTTCTTCAACCAAGGGGACTGCAACTTCTGCTTATAGGGGGGTGGGGATGGGGAGGAAGTCTCTCCAAACACTTTTGACCACAGTGTAATAACAAATTGCCAACTCTACCAAATAATGCCTGGAAAGAAAATACTGGAGTAGAGAAGGTGCCATTGGGAGGGGAGGAGGAGAGTGGGAGATGGAAAGGGACGTTTCCAAGACTTGTATCAATATCAAACTTTCATGGCCTCTGGAAGAAATTTCTCCCTAGCGTTTTTATGCAGAATAATTTCTGAAAAATAAGCATTTTCCAAATGTCGGAAATGAGAGAGAGAACGAGAGAAAGGGGGATCTTTAGAAACCACAGATCCACAGTGTCAATTGAATAGGGCTAAGGAATTGCACACCAGAGTTATCATGAGCTCTGCCCTTGGGCGGGCCAACCTCTGCCCTGCGGGTAGGTGAGAACAGCTTAACGACGTCCTAAAAAAAAAACCAAAAAAAAAAACTGAAAAATTAGGACGCAAAAAGCTCTCTCCCAAATCTGGATGTGGGACCGGAGACTCCATAAAACGAGTTATAAACAAATCACATCACAGGTCGAGTGAGACATTTATATCCCAGAAAAATCAGATGTGTTAAACTCAAGACAAATTCTAACGGCAAAAAAGTCCAAATTACTAGATAGCTCCAAGGGGCTGTTGTGCGCCTCCCAGGAGCGGGTAATACAAGGTGGGGAAGAAGGGGGGCGTTTAAATCCCCCAGAAGACAGAGTTGTGTTTAGCAGCTCTGTCCCTAAAACGCAGTTGGATTAGCTGCAGCCACAGCAGGACTCCGAGATGAGCTTCGCCCACTAAAATCTGCAGGAAAGCTAGCTTTCTGAAACCTTTCTGGAGGCTTCCACTGGCCCTTTTCGGCAGCGCACACAAGTGATGGAGCGGGAGGGAGCGGTTAAAAAGCCGCAAGTGAGTTTCAATGAGAACAGAAACCTCTCTCAGCAATAGCTTTTGATGTAAGTAAATGGAGAGGGCAAAGTCGGGCCTTTCCCCAAAATATTACTCCGCAGGCGAGCGCTCACCAGAAAACCTGCTCAAGAATGGCTGCTCAATGCAGAAAGTTCAGTGAATCATGGGTCCAGAAAAAGAGACCAGTGTTGCCCTTTTCCTGGTAATGCAGGTTCTCCACCTCGACATGCTACCCCTCCACAGTGCGCGCGCTCGCTCTTACACTTACACACACACACACACACACACACACACACACACACACACACACACACACACACACACACATTCTGCTAGGTCGTGTCCAAGGCTATCTGGGGTGAGGGTTTCGGGCGCAAATGCGTGGCGGAAGGTAGAGACAGATGAGGCGCAGGGGAGGTGGTAAAGGGCACTAGAGAGACAGACAAGAAGAAGAAAACTGGGTGCCAGATAAGAAATGAGACCGAAAGACAAGAGTTCGGGAGTCGAGGCGCGGCGCGGAACGTGGGCAACGACCGCACCACTGAGCCCGGAGCGCCGACCGGACGCCCGGCTCACCCGGCTCTCCGCGCGTCTCGCTCCCGCTCGCCGCGCCTCCTGAGGACAGAAAAGACAGGGTTCTGTAGATAGTGGGGAGCGGGGGTGTGCCAGAGCGAGGGTGGAGGGCGCCGTCCTGCCCCTGAGCCGCGGGAGCCGGGGCGTGCGTGAGCTAGGCGACCCGCCCCCCGGGCCCACGCTCCTCCGGCGGAGTAGGACCCACCTCGTTTACTGCGTCTCCATCGGTTGCCTTGACAGTGGCTGTAATCCATACAGTTCAGGATGATGAGGGCAAAGGAGAAGAGGCGAAACTGCATCTGGGCGGCCGGGCAGGGGAGAGACGCCTCTCAAAGTCGGGGAACTGGAGCGCTCATCAGAGGAGCCGGCGCGGACCGCGCCGCTGGAGAAGACGCAGAGGGAGAGTCGCCAGTGCTCAGTTCGGCACCGTCAGCATCTTCCCGACGTGAACCTAGGAGACGAGGAGGAGAAACAGGGTGGATGGGGGATGGAGAGAGCCCCGGGGAGGCAGCGGCCTCTCCGCGCGTCCCAACTTGAGAAGGGGAGGGAGTGGGGAAGCGAACTCATCGCCTGGCACAAGCCGCGGAGCAGCTTAACCCAGAGCGCACAGCTGCCGGCGACTTGGAGAGGAAGGTGTTTACAATCAGTGAATTAGCAACCTCTGCCGAGCTGCAAGCTCCGACCCCGGGGAAAGGGCGTGTGAGGCGCTCGGGGGAAAGGAAAGCGCTGCAAAGGCACCAAGCGCGCAGGGTTAAGGGCGCGCGGGTCGGCCCTTGAGTTCCGCGGTCGGGGACCCGAGCACCGTGGTCGCGGTGGCGGGGCGCGGGGCGCCTGCCGCGAGCACTTACGTCTCGGGCGGAGCGGCGTGCCTAGGAGCTGCGCTCCATCCCGGGCTCCGGAAGGCAGCCGCCTCGCTAGCACGTGGGCTGGGGAAAAGTTTGCCGAGACCCAACGGAAGCGCGTGGCAGCTCCGGGCTGCGGCGGCCGCCTCGGGTTCGAAGTGCGCGGAGGGTCCTCTGGGCTGGCGGCGCCCGGCGGGAGCGCGGCGAGGCGGGCGCGTCCGCAGCCTCTGGGATGCTGCGTCCACGCCGGTGAGCGCGAGCCTCCGGCCAGCGGCACGCCCGCTCTCGCTCTCTGGGTCCCTATCCCACGGGGCGGTTTCCCGAGCTCTCTCCACAGCTGCTCCCCAGCTAAGGTTTCTCGCTGTTCAAGCTGTGGGAGCCAGAACGCTCACGCGAGGCCGGAGGGATGTGGCGAGCGCACTTTCCGACGGAGATGCCGCCGGGCTGAGGCTCGGGATGCTTCTATAAGTAGGTGGTGCTGTGGTCCAAGGCATCTCAGTCGAAGCTGCCTCGGAGTTCCTGGGTCCTAAAGCCAGAAAATCTCAGGTTTCCCTGAGGTCCTAAAGAGAGCTGACAGCCTCCAGCGAGCCTAACCCCAAGCGAATCCCCTCCCGGCTTCCCTGGAGTGGGTGGCCAAACTGAAGAGTACCTGGGACGGAGGCGCCCCCTGATCCTGCAAGGCCCGGGAGCCCAGCTGGCTTCACCCGCAAGACGCGTTCTCGGGCGCTGCGGGTTCGGTTCCCACCTCAGTGCTGACCTTCCTGCAGGAGGATCTGACTGACTGATGGCTTCTTGAAGGCCTTCCTTCCCGTGCTCCCGGCCGGGACTGCTGCTTCTGACAAGCGGAGTCCCAATTTGTGCCGCATCCCGAAAGATGCCACACCTCTGCCACTTTTTCATTTACTCCTTGGCTTGTTTTACAGGAAGATCTGTTAGCGCAGGCTAAAACGGCAACGCGCCCTCAGTTTAGGTAGTGAAATGGTATTTCCAGTAGCTTTTGCTTTATCCCCAGAAGTGTTATGTCTTCACTTTGTTTCTTCTCCGGGAAAGCTTACCAAAAAACCTCTTATCTCTTGCTTGCCATACTCAAGAAATCGGGACCTTGCTTCTTGACAGAGAAGTTCACTTTCCACTGAAGTCTTTTCCATTCATAATCGTCCTCCCTTCCCGCACCCTCAGTGTCTCCTGAATTCAACTTGTAGGTGCCTTGGGTTTGGGGAATACGCTGTTTAACAAAATGTTACATTAAATACACTTAGTGTTACCTAATTTCATTCTGGTGAAACTCTGTCCATTCATTACTGTAGGAGTGAATGTATGTACTCTTCTTAGGCAAAAGATAAGAATGTATACTGCTAACCATGGCAGTAGGAATGTTTGTACTATAGATATGGTCACAGGTATCCTATTATTACGCTAGCATCTTGTACCATTTACGTTTTCTTTTCTATGCCTTCAGTTTTGGAAGACGTTCAAAAATTTGGAGACTTGAGACAACCATATAGAAACAAGAAGAATATTAGAGTAGTCATGTTTAACACTTATTCCATTATTGCCTACCCATAACTGTTTTTACCAGCATCACTACTACACAGCAATATTTATGTGCTAAGAATTTCAGTGTCATTCCCTTCATTCATGCTGGACAATACCCAAGTAAATCTGAGTTGAAGTCACTGGTCCCATTTCCTAGATAAGAAAATTCAGCCCGAGACTGGCCCACAGGGCACAAAGACAAAACACATTGCAGAAACAGTGGATCTGTTTCTCTGAGTCTTTGATTTTTATCACAGAATTTGGAAGCAGTTGGAAATATTTCAGCTTTGGGAGTAAGTGGCCCAAGTGTGATGACTTGATATTCCAGTGAGTATCCCTCCATCATCATAAACACCACTCACCCCATACACTCATACACATACACACAAAATTTATTGTACTTCTAAGTGACTTAAATCCATGGGAGAGTAAAGTCTTCTCTAAACAAGCCCCCTGCCTTCCTGGACAGCTTTGAGACCCATTCTAGATCAGTGGTTATCAGCGTCTTTTAAAATATTTAAAAGCAAAAATTAGCACAAGACCAAATAGATCTAGCACTATCATTAACCACACGGGTCCCTTTGGGCATTTCTTTGGATCACAGTTCCCTTGGTGATATTTTTAGGAAATTAAGCCAAGATCTCTTTCCCCTCTACCATGTTCTGGTTTGCAATCATTTTCTATTTCTATCAAGACGTTTGCTATGGGGTCTAATTAGTGTGAGGACAAACTCATCATTGATGGGTTTTCAATGTATTATAGAAAACTGAGAATTAACCACGGTTATCCTTAGTTAAATTTACAGATCCTTTTTAACCTTTCATCTTCCAAGATTACTTTCCATAATTTTATTCATTTGGGTTTCACCGTTGGCATTTTTTAAACCAGAGATACTTTTCAGGTTAGTAAACTCACAGATCCAGTTCATAAAAAAGAATTTTAACAGCATCGCTTCTGCCGAAGATTGGTTAATGCTCTTAATGAGATAAGAATGGGCTCTGGGAGAAAAGAAGATTCCTAATTCCTTTCTTCTTGTGCTTCTTCCTGGTCTGTCTCTGCTTTTTAAAGGACACCACTGACCCTCAAAAATCTGTCACACTTAGTTCTTGAGGTACTTAGTCTCTTTGGGGGCTTAGTTTGCTGATAATTCAGGACTTTTGTTTTGTTTTGTTTTTTTGCTATTCACTGAATATTTTTCCTGACTTCAAGAACCCAGGAATGTTCTTGCTACCAAAAAAATACAACCCTAGCGATCCTAAACTATCATTAACTATAATACTGTATTTCTGCTTCCTTTCATTTCTAAACTCTTAATGTGTTCTTGTTGAGGCTCAGAGCTCACAGTTTCTCCATCTTGGAGACTCAATGGACTTTTTCATCAAACTGAGTTTAGATGGTGGTTTCATTAAACTAGACATGTGCCTGTAAATAGACATGTGCTTGGGGTCTGTTTACAGAGAAGTATCCTGATGAGGTCGACTTCATAATGCTCATCAGTGATAGAGAAGGTTAACCGAGGGCAGGGGTGGGAGATGATGTTATAGACGGGACTGGTGCACTCTACTTTTTTGATGTGGAATTCATTCATACAGCTAAAATTCAATCCTTAATAAAGGACACACGAGGAAAAGGTTCTGCCCCAGCCAGCCAGTTCTCCTCCTCAGAGACAACCAATTATTTGTGTAGAACCTTGCATTTTGAGTATACTTCCAGAGACATATTGTGCTTAGCAAGGAAGTGTGTGTGTATGTGGAGAGAGAGAGAGAGAGAGAAAGAGAGAGAGAGAGAGAGAGAGAGAGAGATACAAAGTCATGCATCGCTTAATGACAGGGATGCATTCTGAGAAATAAGTCGTTAGGCAATTTCATCATTGTGCGAATATCACTTACGCAAGAGTGCACTTATGCAAACCTAGATAGATGGTACAGTCTATTGTTTCTAGGCTACAAGCCTGTACAGCATCTTACAATACTGAATACTGTAGATAACTGTAACACAATGATAAGTATTTGTGTAGCTAAACATATTTAAACATAGAAAAACGTACAGTAAAAATGCGGTATAAAAGATAAAAAAATATATAGTACAGTTATATAAGACACTCACCATGAATGGAGCTTGCAGGACTGGAAGTTTCTCTAGGCGCGTCAGTGATGAGTGGTGAGTGAATGCGAAGGGCTAGGACGTTACTGTACACTGCAAAAGACTTTACAAAAACTGTACATTTAGGCTATCCTAAATTTACAAAACATTTTTTTCTTGAATAATAAATTAAAGTTAGCTTTCTGTAACTTTATCACCTTATAAACGTTTTCATTTTTTAACTTTTCAACTTTTGTAATAAGATATAGCTTAAAACACAAACACATTGTGCAGCTGGACAAAAGTAATTTCTTTATATTCTTACACTGTAAGCTTTTTCCTTTTTTTTTTAACTTTTTTGTTAAGAACTAAGACACCAGCAGCCCTAGGCCTACACAGGGTCAGGATCATCACGATCCCTGTCTCCCACCTCCACGTCTTGTCTCACTGGGAAATCTCCAGGTTCAGTAACAGGCATGGAGCCGTCATTTGCTGTGATAACAACGCCTTTTCCTGGAAGACCTCCTGCAGGACCTGCCCGAGGCTCTTCTTGAGGAGGTATTACTCTTTTCAGAAATATGTCCATGGTAGCTTGCTTGGTTTCTTTTTTTCATCAGAGATTTGCTTGTAAGCAGATAATGCACCATGAACATTCCTCTCTATTAATGAAAACCATTCCGTGTTGGGGGGGGGGGTCCATGTTTTCAAACTTTTTAAGGAGCTTGTTGAGATCTGCAAAAGCTTCTGCTAAGCCCTTCATTGTATACTCTTATGGGACCACCATCGTATATGTGGTTTGTTGTTGACTGAAACGTCATTACGCGACGTATGACTATGCGTGTGTGGGTGTGGACACATATACACTTCTTTCCTCTTGTCTTTTATGCCGCTAGAATACTGTATTCACTAATCTGCACCTCAGCTTTTTTCATACATCTTAGAGTTCTTTCAGTATCAGTTCATAGAGAATTTTCCTGTTCTTTTATACAATCACATGTCATTTCATTGCACGGTTGTATTTAGCCAGCTCCTGACTGATAGATACTTAGATTATCTTCATTCTTTTCCTACTACAAGCAAGGCTTCAATTAACCTTTTCATGGGTCATTTTACCTTTGCATTATAAATTCCTAAAGTAGAAAAGTTGGATCAAATAGTTGTGTGTGTGTGTGTGTGTGTGTGTGTGTGTGTTCTTAAAATTAACTTCCATAGGGGTTCTATCAAATTACTGGGTGAAAAGGTCCGTCTCCCTACATACCAACCAACATATTTTGATCTTTGATACTCCTAGGCAAAAAGAGATATCTCAGTAGTTTTAATTTTTATTTCTTTTAAATGAATTATGTGTCTTTAATATGCTTAAGCAATTTATATTTCCTTTTCCATGAGCTCTCCAAGATATTGTTTATCTCTTTTTCTATGTTCTTTCTCATTAATTTTTGCTTTGTAGGGTAAACATATATACAGAGGGTACCAAAAAAATTGTATACACATTTTAAAAAATGAAAAGTGTGTTAAAATTGAAATAATATATTCTGATAACAAAAGATGAATACAAGTCACATTTGATTTCTGCAATTACAAGAGGTGCTCAAAGTGGTTACCATCAGCGTCCAGACACTTCTGATTATAACAAACTACTACTGCTTGAGCAACGTTGACCAAACTGTCCAGTTGTTTACGTTTTTTGGCACCCCCGGTATTATCCTTTGTGATTTGAGTTTCAAATGTTTTCCAAGTTTATCATTTATCTCTTAGCTTTGCTTTTGAATATGTTACTATGTTGAAAATTTTAAAATATTTTTTTATGTAGTTAAATTTGTCAGTCTTATCTTCTATAGCTTCTATGTTTGTGTCATACTTGTAAAAGTTCTCCCTCATGCCATTCTTAAATTTTCATTTGGCAGTTTCCACATACATTTTTTTAAATGTTAAAAACAATAAGATGTTAATGATATTATGACTGTAGGGCATGGCTAAAGTAGAATAGATATAAATTTTTCTGAATCTTTCCTAAGAATTTTTGTTCACAGGTTTGGTTGACTTTAGCTCTGATTCTCATTTTCATTAGATAATTGATTTAGAATTCTCTTATCTTTTATGTTATCAGATATTCATATTCTCAAATTTAAAGTTTGCAACAATCTGCTTATTCATTGTTGAAATCAGTTGATGTTATACTCACTCTTCCAGTCTAGAATTTATCCATTTAGTTGCTTTGGAATAAATTATGTCATTTTTGTGATTGAGTCATATTGATAGCATAATTTTTTTCCTGTTGAATATAAGCTGAATGTCCATTTTGCTACTTGCATGTGATAGTCTATGTTCATTTATTATATTTTGTATGAAATAATTAAATTAATTAATATGAAAGATCTTCAACAAGGTCATTGACCAGTCCTTATCCAGACTAATTTGTTGTTTTAAAAAGCCACACCATAATCACTTATTTAACATTTGAAAAATGTGTAAATATTTGACTCCTCCAAATATTAATGCTGTGCTCTGCCACATGAGAACTCTTCTGTAGACTGATGTGATAAGGCCTATTTCTCATTTTGCTCTGTATCCCCATGG